ACAAAGAGACCACGTAAATCACTTAGACTACCAGAAATAATTCTTGATGGGGTAGAATTGTTTTCAGACCAAATGGCAATAGATTTGAGTGTTGTAGAAGCAAGGTATATAGTATTATCATTTCTTATGAATATGGTATACGAGATAACGGCATTCGTAATCAATATGCAATATGATTATTTCAGAATGTTTTCACAAAGCACCACCAATCTCACGAAGGTGTTAAACTATAAATGTAACAAGTGTTGTGTTCTTATCAATTACGATACTTTATTTTCAAGAGCGTGAACGAAAGGTGAACACAATTTTCTGTAATGATTTAGCAGAACGGTCAATATCATCGTCAGCTAGCAGAAAAGCTGATGAAAGATGATCTGTGAAGTGGGAAAGGATGAAATTTCTCCAAAAAAGAAAAACATCTTTATATTTCGACGTCGAGATACTAGCCTATTTGACAATTTCACGTTCAATGCGTTCACAAAGGATACAAAAAACTCAAATTAAGACTGTATCCTTCCTCACTTCAAGAAGTGTGCAGAATTATCGTTCGAACGATTGAAAATAAAGCAATTCGACCGCTTTCATAGGATCACTGACAGTAATTGTAACGCACGTTCTTTCTCTGATTTTTGTGATTAACTTCATACACGTGAAGCTCTAACTTAAAACTTATTTTCTATCGGTTCTGATTTATTTCAATGATAATGATTAGGTTATGGACGTTCAATAGATAAGTACCCTCTATGCGCATCTGTTCCACCAGTGATATTTGTGATATCAGTAAGTAGATGCTGTGTATTTTTCTTTAACCATTCCACTAGATCTTGGTCGATCGAAGTTTCACTAGAGTTCGGCCGATTATATCGATAGTGAACATTTAATCTTTGAAGATTGCTCATTTTCATAATGAGATCATGAACACATGTCCAATCTTCGACATAGACAGCCAAAATTCGACATTGCATACCAAGTGTTGAGCGACTAAGTTGATCACATTGTTGTATAGTATAATAACATTTATGGTCTGTATTACACCACGAATTCAAGTCGAATATTGACACATTCTTGATATTGCATTGAGATAACTTCAGAATCGCTAAAGGCCAATTGATGAAATGTAACGAAGTCAAGCGTTGATATTGTTCTATCAAGTGTTGTAGTTTATTCACACATTTTAATTCATATTCATGGATCGATGCATCGTCTTGTTCGTTCATATACAAGAAACGATTCTTCGCAGCAAGTTCTATACTGATATGTTCGATACTAGGAAAGTGAATGTGAGATAAAGTCAAACATTCATAAAGTTGGTAAGAAGTAGTATTAAGCATCAGTCTACGCACGCGTTCGAAGCGACATTCAGCATTATCTGATGTACAAGTGGACTTCGAGTAAATTTGAAAGTCAGCATAAAAACTGTCAAATGCATATGGCAAAGTGTAGATGTAACACTTTCTATTTTGCGGATTCCAATCACACTGAACAAACCATCGATGTTCAGCAAGCCAAAACGAATTTTGAAAAGAAGCAACAACTTTCTCCACTTCTTGTCTTACGATGGTGTTGTTTGCGAGAACTGTGAAAATCATCCTAAACTGTAAATATTTTAGTTTCATCATATGCTTCTGAATCAACCCTTGCCAGATTTGTGCATCGATAAAATGGCTTCCCATGTCTAATTTTAAATGAGTTAGATTCGGTATTCGGCGTAAAATATTCAGTAGTAAGTTAAAACTGTAGGTCATAAATAATAAATTCAATTGCGTTATCGAGTGCAGGCTTTTTGACACATCATTAACCGAAAGAAAAGCATCAATACGAATGGATAAGTGTCGAAGTTGTGGTGTTCGTTGCGCCAAGTCGATCATACGTGTGGCATATGCATAGGAAAAGTCATGTACAGATTTGATGGTTGATGAAGTTACTTTTGGTGTATGGAAAGTCCGATATGAAGAAGAGTATGGCTTGAAATTGAAGTAAACAAGTTTAGGTAAACCCCAAACAATGTTTGCCCACAAATAATGATCAATTTTGCATTTATCAAACGTGAGATGAGTCAAAGTCAAGAGCTGAGGCAAATCTCTTAGCACCTGATTCATGATTTCATTTGATTGGATATGGGATAGTGAAAGTGATTGTAAACTAGTAAATTGACCTAATGTGAATCCATGTGAATAGAACTGTTGAACTTGATCGGGAGTATTAAAGTCGTTCGACAAAGTAAGTGAAGTAATTTGAGTGACCAGTGGTGGAAGAAGTTGTGTCCAGAAAAGATCAAAATGGTATTTTGTTGTCGCTCGAAGATCAATCCATTTATGATTTTGTAGATGGCTACAAATGAGACGATCGAAACGGCTGTTGAGCTGAGAAAATGACTGAAGAAAATCAGGAGTTAAAAGAAGTTTGAATACATCGAATAACACTTCATTGGGTAGTGCCTCTAAAGACATATTTGCGTTTGTAGTTTTCGATAGGAAGTACGTACGATGAAATGTTTTGTCGGATGTCGGAAAGAATGAGACAGTGGGTGAGATAAGCTATACGCAATAAAAATAGTCATCAAGACCTTTACACATTTCATAAAAAATGTTTATAATAGAGGGCGCTCATAATGAATGTCTTTTAACAATATTTAATTAGAATGGTTACTCGATTATACAAAAAAAAGCATCGCAAGAAGAATTGCGTTGCAGTTGGTTAGTCACTACGGTTATAAATTAATAATACTTTACTCTTCTCATACTGTAGTTTAAGCGAAATCTAAGAATCTAACTGACTTCATCGAATTTAATAAGCGAAATGAAATTAATTGAAATGATTGGTGAAAATGGTGACGGTCGGCTATTTTAGGTCTGTTGTTCTCCAAATTTGATCAAACTGCTTTTCAGGAGACCTTCAACATGGAGTGATTGTCTGCTGCTTATAGGTTTGTTTTCCATAAAACGTATGAATATACTGTTTTTAATCGTTTATTCAAATTCATGGAGAATATCAGAAAAGATATTCTATTGTTGTCGACTGCAGAAATCAGTCATCGGATGTCCATTTTATAATTTCATTTTCCCGTTTAAATCTGGTAACTGAACCGTTGAACTTTGAAAAGATCAGTTAATCCTAGACCATTTTGGAAGCGTGATTTCATGTCAAAATGTGCATCAGCAAGGTTACAACCAATCCAGAAACATAAATTCATATTTAAACATTCACATTCTATACATTCAGAATATATCTGCTGAGAGTCCCTCGAACATGAATCATAATGTGTCGAAAATTTATTAATAACCACATCCTTCAAGGTGTCGCCTTAGGTTCATTTAAAACAGCAATCACAACATCTCAGAAAACTAAAAGAACCGTTGATTCGAGTGAATCAACTAATGAGAATTTATTGTTGGTATAAATATACGAGATACATCGATTAGCGTTTTCTAAGCAATATGTGAATCAAGATCTATAATTAATGCTTGAAATCTATAGAATTTGTGGAACTCGATCTGAAATTAGCCTTAGAGCAAGACTGAATATTTAAAAGGCGAATTGTGATCTGGTCGTTTCGGTGAATTTTGAGAGAGCAGTGTGGAGGCTTTTTCGCAGATCTGACGGTGCTCATCAAGTCTTGATTGGAATCAGTAAGACTAGGATTGGAACGCACACGTACGTGAATTCAGATAAGGGAACGCCAAATTCCGGGGGATCTTACGCATATATGATGCAATCACGAATGACTATGCTTTTTTTCGTTCGAACAAACATAAACGTCTATTTTTATATTGTTCTTCAACTCAATTTATGCTATGTCACAGCGCGGATACCAAAAACGAGCAGAAACGATAATCGATTGTCATTTGGCGATCTATAGTATTACTTATGCGTGTACTCATTTTCGGCTCAACTGGCCTTGCTGGTCGTTATATCTTGGCAGAATTATTGGCACAAAATCATGATGTGATCGTATTTGTTCGGTCCCGAAACCGGATCGATTCAAAACTTTTATCTTCATCAAAACTAACCATTGTTGAAGGTGATGGACTGAGCGAATCAGATATAAAACATGCATTTACAGTGGCTCAAACAGATAGAAATCTCGATGCAATTATTTCGAGTATAAATGAAGGTCTTGAAATCAAATTACATTTACAATCAAAATGCTCTCGTCTTATTCTTAATGAAATCGATCGTTGTACTAATAAAAAGCCTCGCTTTATAGTATTTGCTGGCGCTGGTTTGCTTGATGTACCTATCGAAGGTGACAATCATTCAACTGAAATCAAAACGCAATTTTGGAAATATAGTTCAGAATATCCGACTATGTAGCTCGATTTATTGTTAACGAAATAACTGAAGGAAAATTCATCAATACGCGCGTTGGTATAAGTAATGCCTGAATTAGTTTTAACCGAATAAATATTAGTCTTGATTAAAAATTTTTTCCAGCGTAAGTAGAATTATGTGATGATCTTTTTTATCGCATTTGGCCATATTCATCCGTATTATTTCTCATGAAAAATAAATAATGTCGTTCAAAGATCTTAACGTGCATTGCATGTCCATAATTACAACTTTTTACTAATAATTATATCTATCACAAAAAGAATATTCAAGTATTTCTATGAGGATGAATTCAATCAAAAGATTCAGTGAGGGGTATTTTATTTGTCCTTGCACAGACCGAACTACTCGAGGATGAGGTTCCTCTGCTATAGGACTTATATCTCATCAATTGAAGAAAGAACTTATATTTAATCACTATTAGCAAAGTTATAAAAAGTAGGCAGAGTGTAAATATATCCTCTTGCCTGTTCATTATATTCTAACACTAGTTTGGACATTCGAAGTACGTATAGTATGAAATGCATTTTGTTCGGATGCTTTAATCCAACAAATATTCTTTTTAACTTGATCCATTGATTATTGTTTTCGGTATAGACTACCAAAAGGCATTATTGGAGAATGTTGTGAACAATTCGCTCCAGTTAACAAAATATAATACACGCATTGTGAATATAATAAAAAACTAATAGAATGGCTAATGCTTCGAAAAAAGTTGACTTTATTTAAGCACCTTCTTCTGTTGCAGTATGCCTTGAATGCCTGCATATTTACAGGAGGAGTTCGTATATCTTAGCACAAATGTGAAAGTAGTTTTATTTTCAGTTTTGAAGAGATAAGAACGCGATTGGGCCATGTCATTTTTACTCATTAAAAAAAATACGACTACTCAAATATTTGACAAAGACTAATTGAGTTTACATCATGTGAGTATAGATCTTTCTCTTTTACCATCATAATGACAATAGTTTTTTGAAATCCTAGCATACATCTGTTACTAAAATTCTTCTATCATATGAATGAACGCAATACATATGCGAGTATGATATTTTATCTCCTTAGCTGATCACACACTTCAAAACTGTTTAATAAAACGCTAAAAGTTGTTCTTTAACTGATACAAATGGCACAAACTATGAAGTAAAATTGGTTACAACTTCATTTTAATTGAAGCACATCTGGTGAAATTACATTTCTTTCCTCATTTTCATAAACTGCTTGACTTGATCCGTGGATTGAAATAGAGCAATCAGACTGCAAGCCAAAGAGACATCGAGAAATGTAATTTATTGTTNCTTCAAAACTGTTTAATAAAACGCTAAAAGTTGTTCTTTAACTGATACAAATGGCACAAACTATGAAGTAAAATTGGTTACAACTTCATTTTAATTGAAGCACATCTGGTGAAATTACATTCCTTTCCTCATTTTGATAAACTGCTTGACTTGATCGGTGAATTGAAATAGAGCAATCAGACTGCAAGTCAAAGAGACATCGAGAAATGTAATTTATTGTTTGTGTTAACATGAAGTCCATAAAAATTTGTACCTGTTGCACTACTATTTGCTAGAGTTGTTGCATTCATACTCCATGTAGACCATGATTGAAATTTTGGTTGATTGTAGGAAACAGCTAAATTAATAGTATTTGCGAATGTTTCTGACTGGTTCAAATCCTAACAGATCTTATTTAATCTTACCCATTGTTCGATTAACCATAAATATGAAAATAAACCATGCTATACAGCTATTATATTGAACCATTCTTTCCCTCGGTCACAAATGCAATAGTAAAAAATACTCTCAACGTTCTATTTCTAGTGAACTCCATTTTCAAATATGAAGATCAGTTTCCGGAGCTTCTCCAATGTAAAGCATCAGTTGTTGATTTTCCATGAATTTGATTTGCATAAATCAATCAATCCACAATCTTGTGTGAAGATAATAAAATATGTATTGCATCAACACTGATCTTGACACATCGAGACAAACAATCGAACGATAAAAAACAAACACTACGAGACTCTTTCTTCGTGCATTTATTAAGTTATTGCTCAAATAAATATGGCAGTCCCACTTGTCACACATTCTTTTCTAGTCGACTATCGATGCATCATTTTTATTTCATTTACAAAGCAAAAAGTATATATTAGTAAAATAATTCCAGGAAACGTAAAAATCTTGTGTCACAGAGCTTCAAAACGGACTAAATCAGCCGCCATCTACTGGTCGTCCCATAAAATAAGTTTTCCACGCATCTTTCGCGTAACCATTGTCTAATACTTCAAAATTCATGGCCGATGCACCTTCAATTTTGTTTCCGGCGAAGTAGACACTCCATGGATCCTTGGCATAACCATGACTTAGAACTTGGAACTGCATTGCCGATGCACCTTCTACCTTCCGCCCATTGAAATATACAGACCAAGGATCTTTTGCATAACCAAATCCGAGGATTTCCATATGTTGCATGATGAAAATGAAAACAAGCTGAGATATGTGAGTCGAACGACAAAATAGTCGATAGTATTAACACTCCGCTGCGCAAGACAAGGATAAAAACAAGAAAAAAAATCCGGTTTCTTTTTCTTTTTAATCTGACATCATCAGCCTATCGCGTCATTGGTGCTTCTCTTTCATACAAGAAGAAAGGAACAAAATTTTTTCTCCCATTCAAACAAGTTGACTGTTTCATGACGTCAGAGCGTGACTCACCTCAACAAAACAGTCGACATGTGATATATGAACTACCTATGCGACCTTGTTCAAACAGCTGATGCATGTAAACACGAGCTTCATAATTGGAATATGCTCGATACTGTCAGCGAACAAAGATATTCGTCATAGTTATGTTTCTGCTGTATAATTTCTAAAGTAAAGATTGGTATCTGTCATGAAAAAAAATTAGCTGATTTTTTTCCGACCGTTAGGAAGCACCTTTCAATAACTGATGACGTAAATGAAAATGTTAGAGTCAAAACATCTGTATAGCGTGAAATCAATCAGTTTGGGCGAAAAATTCAATAAATTGTTAACGAATATTTATTCAACATTTTACCTCGCATAAGTCAAAAATAGTATGAAACTTCGTCGCCCTGCAATCAAATGATTGATTAGTGCTCGCGAATACCCTTGTTTTCCTCTGCCTGTACATCTGTGTATATATACTCACATTTCTATTCAGTAGTCATACATTCCAGTCCAATTGTCAACATGCCAGTTTACGTTAGTTCTCGCCGTCTCTACAGTGATCCATTCGACACTGTTGGTGTGCGATATGTTCGTCGATCTCCAGGACGTGTTATTACAGTTCGTAATCCGATCAAAGTTATTGGTGTTGATGCAAGTCCACTTGTGAAGTATCGGGTTTCTTCGCGACGTATATATCATTCTTCNCTTCAAAACTGTTTAATAAAACGCTAAAAGTTGTTCTTTAACTGATACAAATGGCACAAACTATGAAGTAAAATTGGTTACAACTTCATTTTAATTGAAGCACATCTGGTGAAATTACATTTCTTTCCTCATTTTCATAAACTGCTTGACTTGATCCGTGGATTGAAATAGAGCAATCAGACTGCAAGCCAAAGAGACATCGAGAAATGTAATTTATTGTTTGTGTTAACATGAAGTCCATAAAAATTTGTACCTACTGTACTACTATTTGCTAAAGTTGTTGCATTCATACTTCATGTAGAGACCATGATTGAAATTTTGGTTGATTGTAGGAAACAGCTAAATTAATAGTATTTGCGAATGTTTCTGACTGGTTCAAATCCTAACAGATCTTATTTCATCTTACCCATTGTTCGATTAACCATAAATATGAAAATAAACCATGCTATACAGCTATTATATTGGACCATTCTTTCCCTCCCTCGATCACATATGCAATGAGAAATACTCTCAATGTTCTATTTCTGGTGAACTCCACTTTCAAATATAAAGATCAGTTTCCGGATCGTTTTCACTATAAAGCATCAGTTGTTGATTTTCCATGAATTTGATTTGCATAAATCAATCAATCCACAATCTTGTGTGAGGATAATAAAATATGTATTGCATCAACACTGCTGTTGACACATCGAGACAAATAATCGAACGATAAAAAACAAACACTACGAGACTCTTTCTTCGTGCATTTATTAAGTTATTGTTCGAATTAATATGGCAGTCCCACTTGACACACATTCTTTTCTAGTCGACTATTGATGTATCATTTTTATTTCATTTACAAAGCAAAAACTACATATTAGTAAAATAACTCTAGGAAACGTAAGAATCTTGTGTCACAGAACTTCAAAACGGACTAAATCAACTGCCATCAACTGGTCTTCCCATAAAATAAGTTTTCCACGCATCTTTCGCGTAACCATTGTCTAATACTTCAAAATTCATGGCCGATGCACCTTCAATTTTGTTTCCGGCGAAGTAGACACTCCATGGATCCTTGGCATAACCATGATTTAGAACTTTGAACTGCATTGCCGATGCACCTTCTACCTTCTGCCCATTAAAATACACAGACCAAGGGTCTTTTGCATAACCAAATCCGAGGATTTCCATATGTTGCATGGTGAAGGTGAGAACAAGCTGAGATATGTGATTTGAATTACAAAATAGTCGATAGTATTAATACTCCGCTGCGCAAAACAAGGATAAAAAAAAGAAAAAAATCCGGTTACTTTTCTCTTTTTTAATCTGACATCATCAACTTATCGCGTCATTGGAGCTTCTCTTTCATAGAAGAAGAAAGGAACAAAATCGTTTCTCCCCATTCAAACAAGTTAACTGTTTCATGACGTCAGAGTGTGACTCACCTCAACAAAACAGCCGACATGTGATATATGAACTACCTCTGTGACCTTGTTCAAACAGCTGATGCACGTAAACACGAGCTTCATAATTGGAATATGCTCGATACTGTCAGCGAACAAACATATTCGTCATAGTTATGTTTCTGCTGTATAATTTCTAAAGTAAAGATTGGTATCTGTCATGAAAAAAAACTAGCTGATTTTTTTCCGACCATTGGAAAGCACATTTCAATAACTGATGACGTAAATGAAAATGTTAGAGTTAAAACATCTGTGTAGCGTGAAATCAATCAGTTTGGGCGAAAAATTGAATAAATTGTTAACGAATATTGATTCGACATTTTACCTCGCATAAGTCAAAAATAGTATGAAACTTCGTCGCCCTGCAATCAAATGATTGATTAGTGCTCGCGAATACCCTTGTTTTCCTCTGTCTGTACATCTGTGTATATATACTCGCATTTCTATTCACTATAGTCATACATTACAGTCCAGTTGTCAACATGCCAGTTTACATTAGTTCTCGTCGTCTCTACAGTGATCCATTCGACACTGTTGGTGTGGGATATGTTCGTCGATCTCCAGGACGTGTTATTGCAGTTCGTAATCCGATCAAAGTTATTGGTGTTGATGCAAGTCCACTTGTGAAGTATCGGGTTTCATCGCGACGTATATATCATTCTTCACCATTTAAACTTCTCTTCTGAAGCAATCTACGTCTCTCTTGAACTCTTATCGCATAACAAAACATCCATCACAGAACTTGTCTCTCTCATCTTTTATAAATCATTAAATAAACTTCTCTTGACATGCATCGAAAACAGATGCAGTTCGGAAGTATTGATCATCTGCAATTGAATGTGTGTAGAACGCGTTGCTATCTTCAAACGAACGTCTGTTTGTTGTTCGAATTAGAATGCAGGAATGTGGTTCACCGCGGTCGTTTATCCGATTGTTGAAAACAGCAAAATAGAGAAAAATGCGGCTTTCTTGTAACCGTAATTCAGTTAGGCATTTGGCATAGCAAAGAAAGACAATGACAGACTATTTTGACTTCAATGTGCGACGCTGAGAAATAAGCTGTTGAAATTTCTTTTCTACTAACAGTTTTGTTTTCCATTGATTGGTGTGCATGTGCTGCTGAAACATTCCCGTGAACCGAAATGCTGCTGGAAGAGCCAGAGACAATGGTTGCTGTTCTCAATCAAGCCTTAGAAAGGCTTGGCGTATCTTTGAACTTTACAAACACGTCATATGATTACAGCGAGAGTGATTATCGTTTAACTTGCAGCATAATGACGCGATCAGTTACCGAGACCAAATCATCAGCTGGTATAGACTTCAAAAATAAGCAGCGTCTCAACTTGTTGGAGAAACTAACGACAGTGATATCTTGAATTATGTTCTTCCGGGTCATGGAGACTATCAACTAGAGTCAGCGATCACGCATATACAGATACAAAAATCAGATTTTGATCCCAAATATAATTTCAATTATAGGAAGCCATGTGTTCTTAGTTATGCACTAAAAGTTGTCGACAAATGTTCACATGATAAAGCCTGGTTAGGAGATGAACATACAAAAAGTGCGTGGTGTATCGCCTATCTTGATACTCAAAAGTTACAATTGCTATTTTCAAAGATGAGGGTATCAAGGAGAAAGGGAGGAATCTATCTGGCAGCTCATTTTGAAAGAGGTGCAGCTAGATATGTTCAAGAGTATCCAGTGAAAGATCATGGCGGAAAAGTAATCAAGTACAAAGCGGTATTTCAATGCCACATCAAGTCGGGATCATTCGCTGAACACAACAGAAGCCAGTACTATCTCTGTTGGCCAAGCACTGCGTGTTTTTGATGGAAAAGCTATCCGACCGTACGTACGGTCTCCTATTAAAGAGTGATGATGTACTTCCATCATCATCTGGCTCCAAATGCACGCTATCTTAAATGGCTTCTAACTCTTATTATTCATTTCAATCTCGCGAAGAATAAAGTAGATAGTTTGAGATTTGAGTATGCGAGTCTTATTCATGTTGTGTTTACCTTAGAATAATACACATGAAATAGTACGATACAGACCAAACTGGAAACTAGCTGAGCAAAGTAAAATGTACATGGAATCTGTTGTTATAGTGTATTTAATTCAATTACACCGATGCATATTTAAATACTCTGACATGATGAACGGTATGAAAAACGTTGTTGAAATGAGTAGTGAATTGCTTGGGACTACTTAAAGTGGCAATCTTCGGCAAGTAATAGAAAATGAACGGAAAAATGTTTGCTACGAAATTTTAATAAGACTCGCGTAATTCAACTTCCACTTATGTATCTCAATTCTACGGCCAAGAAATCGAAATCAACGCTTTTCTATACGAAAAACGACAGATGATTACCATCGATACTTACTTGAGGTCACGTAAAACACTTAACGACAAAGTACCACTATGTTCGAAAGTAGATATTCGCCATGCTAGTACTGTTGCTGAAGTTTTTGCTCAAGAATTGGAACGCGGTTATAATGAAGGATATGAAATAGGAAAGGTGTAAATGATAGAAACAAATTCAGTTCGACTTAATCTGACTTTAGATATTTCTCTCTTCTATTATGCAATTTCCAAAGAGAAAGATCTTGCTCGTAACATAGTCCGAGAGGTTCGTTTGATATGTTGTGATAGTATGTTTTGAATTCATTTAAATATGCTTTCCAAAGGCTTATGATAAAGACCATCATGGACTCGCTCGACTTGATGACGAAGCTTACAGAGGTAAATATGCAAAACTTTTCGTTAAGATGCGAATCATTCTCTGTAGAGATTCATTTTATATTTGAATATGTGCAGTTATGGATCGGGAAGACAGATTATAACGAGTACATAAAGGAATGTGATCCCTATTAGTACGAATTTGAAGCGGTGACGTTTATGATCTAATGAAAAAATGCAGTTTGCTAAAAACCTTTCTGGATGTCTACGGAAGACAAAAAGAAGATTGGCAAGTGAGTGAAACATGTGTACAGACGAAATGTCTTATCTTAACAAGCTGGAAGTGTTCAAAGAATGATTCGTAAACTGTTTATAGGCAGTCTTATTATATTATTTGTCTTGTCTCCAATTCATAATTTATCCAACATAAACAGTATACGAAATATTACATTTCATATCATATGACACGCTAACAGACATCATCAATAGTGTGCACTGATAAACTCAGAATCATTAATAGAAGCAGGAATGGCATTTTTTATAAAACATGTTGAATTTGCCCATCCTGATAGCGCCCAGGTGAACGCTACACAGCCATTGTAAGACAAACACCATTGGCAGCATAGAGTATAACTATTCAAGACTTCTGAAGTTATGTCATCACCGGGTACGTTATACCCAATAAGTACTGTCATATTACCACATGCGTATGGATCTGGTGTAGTTGCTATAACCATTGCAATAAATTTTATCATGAAAGAAAATTAATATAAACTCACTTGTTGTTGTGCTCGTTGTAGCTATAAAAAACAATTTGATAGTACTTATACTCAGTCTTTCACAAAACTTACGAGCTGATAATTTTCTGTTATCGATAGCAATCATTGTCTCCACATCCATCTGAATTGAAAAAGAGCCCATGTAAGTTGCAATATCAACAAACAGCTGACACTGATTATTCGAGTGATAAAACACCACTGTACGACACTCAATAGTCGCTAAACATGCCATTTGACAGTGTCTAATGTTGGAAACAGTGACAAGAGTCGAAGGTGAACATTGTGGATCAGAGCATGTGTAGAGAGTATTGTTGAGATGAGATAATTTCAGTGTGCGTATATTTTGAGTAGCTAATGGTGTGATGAAAAGTAATAGAAACAACTCGCTTAGACATGTCATGCTAAACAAAAGTAAGAGCAAAATGAAAGAGATACGTTGTTTAAAGTAGAAAAGGTAACTTCTGAAAGATTCTTTTTGAAGTACGCGCTTGAAAATTATGATTGAGTAGAATTGAACATTTTGTGTTGCCTTTTATACAGAGTTATGCACCAATGTTAAAAAGCTCGCAGCAAAATTCTCGTTTGAGAATAGTCATTTTCAAAGGTGGACATTCGTGTGAGCAGCAAAGCTTTATCGAGATATAGAATATTAGCATAGTTTTCAGTAAAGAATTCAAACTAAATAACATAGATGCGAATCTATATGTACATATCATCTCTTGCAAAGCCGAATTTTCAAAACTATCCTCACTGTAATTTCGTATGTATATTTATTTACCAATAATGAAGTCAAATACACAAAACTCCGAGTTCTAATTAGGAAAGACTCGGTCATTGGTGGTCTGCAAACCAATGGAATATCTTGTTCAAATCTATTCTTCTCGTTTGAACAATTAGAAAGACCTGCTAATCAGGCGAAATTGTGCACAGAAGACAACCCTTCTGTTAATGGAGTATAGGTAACCGATGAGTGACTAATACTCTTCCCTCATCGGTGTTTTTTTCTTATTTCATCTGAGTGTCATCAAGTCATGATTTATCCGCCGTAGAACAGTATGTGAAGTATTAGAATCATTTCACATAACGTATCATGCTCATAGACATTGCTAATAATGTGCACTGATGAGTTCTGAGTCGACTGTAAAATCAGGAATAGCATTTTTTAAATAACATCTCGAAGTGGATACTCCTGCTACTCCCCAGATAAATGCCACGCAACCACTATAAGTCAAACACCACTGACAACACAGCGCATAACTATCAAGAATTTGAGAAGTTATATCATCGCCGGGCATGTTATATCCAGCAAGTATGGTCATATTACTACATAGATATGGGTTCGCTGTAGTAGCTAAAACAATCACAACAATTTTTATTGAAATAAAAATAAATATCATCTCACTCGTCGTTGTGCTCGTTGTAGCTATAAAAAAAAACAATTCGACAGCACTTATACTCAGTCTTTCACAAAACTTACGAGCCGATAATTTTCTGTTATCAATAGCAATCATTGTCTCCACACCCATCTGAATTGACAAAGTACCCATGTTAGTTGCAATATCAACAAACAGCTGACACTGACTATTCGAGTGATAAAACACCACTGTGCGACACTCAGTAGTGACTAAACATACTATTTGGCAGTGTCTAATGTTGGAAACAGTGACAAGAGTCGAAGGTGAACATTGTGGATCAGAGCATGTGTAGAGAGTATTGTTGAGATGAGATAGTTCCAGTGTGCGTATATTTTGAGTAGCTAATGGTGTGATGAAAAGTAATAAAAACAACTCGCTTAGACATGTCATGCTAAACAAAAGTTAGAGCAAAATGAAAGAGATACGTTGTTTACAACACGAGGAAATTTCCTAAAATATTCTCCTTGAAGTTGATGACGCATTCATTCGAGGAACTTCCGTTCAAGAGTATCCAAAACTATTTTTGCACGTCTATCATGCAGATCCACTGATATAAAATAGGAAAGCGTAGGTTAGAAAGTAATAAAATTTTTAATTCTTTGATGATGAAAGAACGATATTCACAGTGCAAAGAATAGTTAACGAACAAGTCGGAAATCTTTTCAATATTTCTGAGAATAAAACCGTGAAGACGGTTATTAATAGAAGCGCTGTTATTATACATTCCATATTTGGCTCGAAAAATTGCACTCGGTGGAGCAGTTAAAATGAAGATACCAATATCAGATTATGATCATAAAATGTAGTTTATTACGTTTTTCTTTTGGGAAATAAATAGAAAAAATTATATTCACCGTATAAATTCATAAATTGTAGGTAAATATGAGAACAAAGCGATTATTAACTATTCCGTCGGCTTTTATCTTTTCATCAAGTAGATTGAATATAATGTAATAGTAAAACTTCGGTTAGCCGCTCGTTCTCTCTCTCTGTCTTCTCCTTTACGGTTTCTTCCAAACTGAACAAATACGTATTGCTTCAACAGCCTGATCGCTTAGGAACGTTATGGAAGTGTCGCTGCATCTGAATACAAACTATCGAACTGTGCACATATACTAATTAAATTTGACTCTGCAACTACAAATTCTGCATCATACACGAGTCATATCAGTACAATACCATACTAACTTCATGTAGTATAAATAGTAAAGCACGTTCTTTTAGAGAAAGATTTATGTTTGTATAGGACGACTACTGATAGAATAATGAATGTATGAGAAAAATACTAGAGAAAAAAAAGTGTTATGAATTATGTCAGCTTTCATCGATGAAATATTAGGTTGTATTATTAATATTTAATTATGGCAATTGATTATAACTCATGGAGTTTTTGCGCAAACAGAAGAAAATCGAAATACCAATTGTAACGACAAGGAAGACACCAAAACACGACCATCCTACTATCAGCACAATCAAATATGTTCGTGGCTGTGGCCAGTCCCATCGGATTTTTGTTATGTTTGTAGTGTGATAGTAACATGTATATGTATGATTAAACTAAAATTCAAGATGAATTTCGAAGAAATCGTCAATACGAACAACGTACCGAATTACTTCCCGGTCCACCGGATCCAGTGAATGTCGTATCGATTGTTTGATTAGTTATATTGTATTGCACTGCATAGAATTGTAAATTACATTGATTGTAATTTTTTCGACATGTACGAAGGAATCCGGAGCCTGTACATGTTTCACTTACGCAAGTTTTATTAATCTGCGTGTAGTTGGTCACTAAACATTTTGTTTCCTTGTAGACTGTCAAAGCCTTCTTCTCGCTTGTATAATATGTTGTTCCAAATATAGCAACAGCCAATGATGCAATGATGAGAAGGATTAAAACACAAAGAGATAAGGAAAAACACGTCGATGCTCCACCAGATTGTGCCATATTAGTTCGACCTAGAATATCGAAGCAATATCACAATTAATCGTATCATTTATTGAGTAAGAAATTCATTATTCGACACCACTAGAATTGTCGAATGAATCAAAAGAGTGAAAACTATAAACAATAATCGTATTGGCATTCCAAATGCTCATAATGAAGGCTAACTCCGCAGATCCTTTGATGAAATCTAGATTGAAAATAGGTCAAGTTGTCACAGGAAAAAACTACGCATTTTTCTGACTGATTTTTCGTTATATCGATCAGAAAAAAGGTAAGGTATGTTTTACGAATAACAACTTGCCTGTTCCTTTCGATTTCGTTCGTGTAATCAAACTGTGTACGAATCAGACTTGGTATATATTCATATTTTTTTAATGTTATGGTCCATTGGCCATGTGAGCAGTGATTCAGTGAAGTTTTTTTATCTCACCCACGCTGAAGATATTGATAAACGTTTATTTGTATTTTTCTGTTCATTAATTTTTCCTTGTGTAAGCACACTGAATCAGGTGGTATTTTTTATTCACCTTTTTACGCCTAACGATTATCAATGCCAAGGTTGTTTCTCTCTCTCTCTCTATGTCTTCATATATTGAAAGGAGAAAGCATAAATATTTGTAAAAAGAACACGCTTATACGCGAATTTTACTTAAAAATATGAAAATACGCCGAGTTTCTGATTTTTACATGTCACGTTTTTCCCCATAATAAGCTTCTTGTATAAATGGCGATCGTACAATCACTAGCTACAGCAAAAAATAAGCATCGGTAATGTGCACTAACGAACCTAGAACCACTATTAGAAGCAACACGAATGCTTTCCAAGTACCACATCGAATTCGCCCATTCCGATGTTCCCCAAATGAGTAAAATACAACCACTGTAATAGAAAACATCATTGACAACAAAGTTTATAATTAGCTTTTTGAAGAAGGAATATTGTATCCAACAACTACTGTCATATTACCCAAACAAAATGAAGACAAACTCACCTGCTGTTGTACTCGTTATGGCTATGAGAATAGTAAATCTCATTCTCCAAGATGATAAAAATTGAAATATGTAATTCTGTATACTGCCAATGCTATAATTGAACACAAGAGTCACCAATGGCGGCATAAAGAAGAACTTCTATAAAGGCAGAGAACATCTAGGTTTCTACAGAATTTCAGGAAATATGGAAAATACGCACATAATACAATGAAGTCTTGTTGTGCTCTTGGTACTTATTTTGATCTTGTATACATTCTCTCTTTTTTTTAAATAACTCCCTATGAGCTTGAGAACGAAGACAGAAATAAAATAGAGGTAAAATCTACCCGAATATGTGAACCTCGTAGTCCCAATAGACAATGCCAGTTGTGAAATGAGACTGGAAATTCATGAAGAGACAAGATAGTTAGTTTCAGATTATTGCTATTCTTGTTTTTCTTTGATGTAAGTATACTCACAATCAGTGCACGCAATGACTTCATAGTTTTGTGCTCTCACTACCAGAGGAGAATGTTGTAATTCATGAGAGTATCCCTTTCTTTGTTCTTATCGGCATAAGATGAATGATTTAAACAACAACAAATAATACACTTATGTTAATATTTATCTTGTTCTTCCTATCCTTTATTCCCTATTTCATTACTACCCAAGCCAAATTCGACCCATCGGATCCGATGGGAACTTGCTCGTCCTAGATATTTATGTTACTGATATTGCGTTTTCTGTTATTTTATTAGTCAATAATGTCTATATAGCATTCGTGCTATTCGTTCTTTTCCTTTTTTAGTTTCACAATTTCGATTACTACGATGTATTAGTTGATGTCAGCAAGTAAAATGTCTTTATAGAGATGACAAGATTTGTAGCTTAAATGTAGGATAGAGTAACACTCGATTAACAGACTATTCGTTGTTTTCGTCGCATTTGGAAATTGTGCAAACTATCATTGATTTCAAAGTGTTTATTTACTTTCTTCTACTTTTACATCAAGACATGAAATTTATCAGCGAAGTAACAATTAGACTAATTGGACCCTAAAACTAATTTTGAACTAAGTCAATGTCAGTTACTTTATTCGATAAGCTGTTAATACCTTTTATAGTAATTGAAATCAGCTTGAAATGTCGCAGCAGAAACGTTAATTAACATCGGCATGGAGCTAGCATCACGAAACAAAACATAATATAAAACGTAATGTTCAAATGAGTTCATTCGGTGTAGAATTTGATTCGACATTGAATGATCATATTTTATTGATGGAAAAACGATTGGAAAAATTTTACATAAATCTTCGTGTACATTTGTGTATAGAAGAAAAAAAACCGGAATCCGGACGAACTATTCCCAATCGTTTTCCCGTCGATATAGACATCACCATCCGATGCCGAATCAAGTTCTGTATCGAAGGAACTCACTTGAACATTACGTTTTATATGATGTTTTGTTCCGTGGCGTCAGCGTCACATAAATGTTAATTAACATACAAATCTAACGTAAATAGACAAATTCTTTTTAAGATTAAACAGTGAAATCTATGTCATTTGTGTTATGTCTGGAAAACGCACTTTTCTGTCGAAAAAATAGAGGACCGAAGAACAAGTATAAACTATTTGACACTATTCCAAATTTTTCTTGAATGATGTCGTCTCAGCAATCAAGCAGCAATACATTCGTTGCTTCTCTTGAATTAACCTTAAAATATCTTTTCCAATATGGTGTCTTGGGTTTATTCATTCTCGGTAATATCAGTTGTGTGCTAAGTTTAATAGTTTTCAGTAGAAAAACT